GCTCCTCGGGAGAGAATCAAGTTTTTAACCTTGGCCGAGTGAATGACTCGAGAGGGAATTAAGTTTTCAACCTTGGCCGAGTGAATGACTCGGGAGGGAATTAAGTTTTCAACCTTGGCCGAGTGAATGACTCGGGAGGGAATTAATTTTTCAACCTTGGCCGAGTGAATGACTCGGGAGGGCATGCATGATTTAACTTGCAATTAAATTGGGCATATGAATGATTCAAAAGAACTGGTTTCATTGATAGGGTGCCTCATTAAAAACCTTTCCCAGAAAAACCTCTTTCACATTTTTATAAGAGGGCAAAACCTGAGGAAGGAAAAGAGTACACCGAAACAATTACATGCTGTTTAACTGAAATAATGCTTCAAATGCGTTGCGTTCCATGTTCGGGGAATAGCCTTTCCCGAGAGCTCTTCCAACTTGTAGGCTCCGTTTTTCAAGTTATGCATTATGCGAAATGGGCCGTCCCAATTAGGTGCAAGTTTGCCCTGAGCTCTGTCTTTTCTTGCTTCTCCGGTAGTTCGCCACACGAGATCCCCGGCTTGAAACTCCCTTGGTTTCACTTTGGTTCGGATTTTCTTTGCTAACCTGGTGCGACATGCCTCCATATTGATAAGAGCTCGGTCTCGGGTTTCTTCCACCAAATCCATCTCAATGTTGAGTGCTTCCCGGTTGGTGTCTTCATCGAACTGTGTTCGCCTTAGCGAAGGTTCCCCTACCTCAACCGGGATCATTGCATCTGTGCCATAGGTCAGCCGGAAAGGGGTCTCTCTGGTGGAACTCTGAGGCGTGCATCGGTATGCCCACAGAATTTCTGGGAGTTGGTCCGGCCAAGTTCCTTTAGCCTGTCCGAGACGTCGTTTCAATTCTTTGAGGATAACCTTATTCGCTGCCTCGGCCTGACCATTGGACTGGGGGTGTTCGACCGAGGTCATCCTATGTTTGATTCCTAATCCGTTCAAAAATTCATTGAAGCGTCGATCGGTGAATTGCAGTCCGTTGTCAGTGATCAAGGCGTACGGGATCCCAAACCGGGTAATAACGCTTTTCCAAAAGAATTTTTGTATGTTATTGGCTGTGATGGTGGCCAATGCTTCCGCTTCGATCCATTTTGTGAAGTGGTCGACGGCTACAACGAGGAACTTGACTTGGCCTTTTGCGGGTGGAAATGGTCCCAGAATGTCCATCCCCCAGATGGAGAATGGCCAAGGAGTGGAGATGGAGTGTAACCCCTCGGGGGGTTGGTGATTTAAGGGTCCGTGCTGTTGGCAGGGCTTGCATTGTTGAATGAAATTGGAGCAGTCCGCAACCAGAGTTGGCCAGTAGTACCCTGCTCGGAGAACCTTGGCTGCTAGGGTTCTGCCGCCCGAATGAGTTCCACACACGCCTTCATGGATTTCTCGCAGCACATAGTGTGCCTGGTCTGGTGTTAAACATTTCAACAGGGGGGTCGAGAACCCTCTTTTGTACAATTCCCCCGCGATCAGGGTATATCGCGCCGCCGTAATCCTCATCTTTTTTGCCGCCAATGGGTCATCAGGTAATGTTCCGGCTGTCAGGTACCTCTTTATTCCTGTCATCCAATCGGGGCTTTCAGGTTGGACCTGTAAACACTCTGGTTTGGCGATGCTGGGCTTCGGCAAATCCTGTTGTATCACACTTCGTAAGTGGCTGACTTTCTTGCTGCTGGCTAACCTAGCCAACTGATCTGCTCTTACGTTGTGCTCCCGAGGCGTATGCTTGACTTGGACATCTTCGAAATCGGCCTTTAGCTTTTTAAACGCATGAAAGTATAACAGTAGGGTCGGCTCTTTGATTTGGAAGGCGCCGCTGACCTGTCCTATTACTACCTGCGAGTCGCTCCAACATTGTAATTTTGATATGCCCAGGTCTTTTGCGAGTCGTAGACCTGCCAAAAGGGCTTCGTACTCAGCCTGGTTGTTGGACGCTTTGAAACCGAAGCGGAGTGACTGCTCTACAACTACGTGGCCTGGTCCTTCTAAGATGATGCCTGCTCCACTGCCTTGTTGGTTCGACGATCCATCTACATGCAAGGTCCAAAGGTTTGTATCGGGGGTCGCTGTCAACGTGAATTCGTTCAAGAAATCGGCCAAGCTTTGCGCTTTTACTGGTCCTCGTGGTTCGAATCGGATGTCGAATTGTGACAATTCGACGGACCAGGAGACCATTCGTCCTGCCAATTCGGGTTTTCGCAGAACCTTGGTTATGGGAGTGTCAGTTCGGACAAGCATACGGTGGCTCTGAAAGTAGTGTCTGAGGCGTCGTGAAGTGTGGACTAGGGCGAGGACTGTTTTCTCAAGGTGTTGGTATCTGGCTTCGGCATCTTGCAGTACTCGGCTGATGAAATAAATCGGCATCTGTTCCGATTTTTCTTGCACTAAAACGGTGCTGATGGCCTTGTCGGACACTGAAATGTACATGATCATGTCCAGCTGGGGGTCGGGCTTAACCAACAATGGCGGGGTAGCGAGCATCGCCTTGAAGCTGTTGAAGGCCGATTCGCACTCGTCGGTCCACTTGAACTTGGTTGCTTTCTTTAGAAGGGACATAATGGGTCGTGATTTGTCTGCCATGCAAGGCAGGAACCTAGCCAATGAAGCTATTCGTCCTGCCAGACGTTGTACTTCTTTGACATTAATCGGACTCCTCATGCTGATGATGGCCTGACATTTGTCAGGGTTCGCCTCTATCCCCCTTTGCGATAACATAAAGCCTAAAAACTTTCCCCCCGCTACTCCAAATGTGCACTTAGCCGGATTCAATCGCATGTGATGGCGTCGTACTTCGTGAAAGATGGAACATAAGTCTCTGATGTGGTCGGGTCCTGAGGCGGATTTGATCACCATATCATCTACGTACACTTCCAGACTTGTCCCAATCTGGTTACGGAAAATCTTGTTCATGAGCCTTTGATAGGTTGCCCCCGCGTTTTTCAAGCCGAATGGCATTACCCTGTAGCAATAGTTCGCTGAATCAGTGATGAACGCGGTTTTGGCTTCGTCCGGGGGGTACATGGGTATCTGATTATACCCGGAGTAAGCGTCTAGGAAGCTTAGTCTAAAGTGGCCAGCCGCGCCATCAACTAGCGCGTCGATGTGAGGGAGAGGGTATGCGTCTTTAGGGCATGCCTTATTGAGGTCGGTATAGTCAGTGCACATACGCCACTTGCCGTTTGACTTCTTGACCATTACTACGTTGGCCAACCAAGTAGAGTACCTGACCTCCCGAATGAAACCTGCTTGCAACAACTTGGTTGTCTCCTCTTTGACTGCTTGGGCTCTTTCTCCACCCACTTTCCTCTTCTTCTGGGCAACGGGCTTGGCCCCCTTACATACAGAGAGCCGATGGCAATGGAAACTGGGATCAATTCCCGGCATATCGGCGGCAGTCCAAGCGAACAAATCAGCGTATTGTACCAGGACTTGTTTGATCCTACTTGCATCCGTTTCGGATAGTTGGGAGCTTAGGAACGTGACCTGCCCCTCTTTCGTCCCGAGTTGAAAAGGAATTGTTGTTTCTATTGGCTCGCCCCTGCCCTCGTCTGCCACTCTCGGGTCCAACTCCAAGTCATCGACTGGGTCTCGTTGGTTAGTGTCTCCAATGACATTAACATCTCGGGAAGGCCTCGGCGTCGGTGGGACTCTTAAGCTTGCAAAGTAGCACTCTCGAGCCGTTTTCTGGTCCGCGTGGAGTGTGATGATCGCTCCCTCTTCCGAGGGAAACTTCATGGCTAAGTGTGGTGTGGAAACAATGGCCCGGAGCTTGTTTAAGGATGGCCGGCCTAACAAAATATTGTAGGAAGTGTTGGCGTGTACGACTACATATCGGACTTTGATTCTCCGCCTATGGTGGTCGTCCCCAAAGTAGGTGTACAGGTCGATTGTTCCCCTGGTATCCACTCGTTCCCCAGAAAATCCGACTAAGGGCTCACCATAAGGTACTAGCTCTTGTTCGGGGATGCCGAGCTGCTCGAATGTTTTCCAATATAGGATGTCTGCCGAGCTCCCTTGATCAACCAACGTCTTCTTAACCACGCAGTTGTTGATTTCGACACTGATGACCATTGGGTCATCCTGTATCGGGTCAACCCCTTTGAAATCTCGGTCGGTAAATGTGATAGGAGGCATGTGAATGGTTGCTCTTCCCACGGCGTTTACCGACTTGATTGCTCTCAAGTGTCTTCTTCGGGCGGAGGATGTGCTGCCTCCTCCCGCGAATCCTCCAGCAATTGTATTTATCACCCTCTTAGGTTGACTTCGTGCAGGCTGCCGATCACTTCTCTCGGGGGTCCTACTTCGTTCCCTCGATCGACA